TTAATTCAATATAAAATAAAAAATTTATTTAGTTTCGGTTCTTGGTCTAGATCCGAGACCCGACCCAAACCCATTGGTTCTCGATTCGGGTACTCGTTCGGGTATTTAATTTATGAAGAATCGCTCGATTTGGTCCGGTCCGATCCGGTTCGATTCGACACTTTTGGACACTCCTAATCATACATTTCAAAAATAAAGTTTTGAATAGTGATGCGTAATTAAAAAGTAGGAAAATTTTTTAAATTTATGTTCAAAATATTTTATTGTGTGAATGTGTAATTAAAAATAAGGGTTAAATTTACCGATAACCACTCAATCTTATACTTAGTGTTACCATAGTCACACACACACACACACACACACGCACTAAATGTTAATAAATAAATAAAAAAAACTTATTTAAAAAAGTTACTTAAAAAAACTTATTAAAAAAAAAAAAAAAAATACAAATAAAAATCATTCACTAAGTAAGGTTACATCTAAACTTAAAATTATTTTTATTAAAAAAACGTTCCTTAAAAAAATAAAATAAAATAAACACTTATTTTAAAAAAAAATTACTTAGAAAAATGAAAAAAAAAAATTTATTTAAAAAATTTTTTAAAATAAAAAACTTTTATTTTTATTTTTTAAAAATTTATTATATATATATAATGCAAAGTTATCATTTTACTCTTTTTAAAAATAGTGAAAATAGGTTGGAAGGCCATGGTAAAACAGGTGTTTGGTGTAGATTAAAATTATATTTTTAGTGGATTGTGATAGAAGTTTTTGAAATGTGCGTTTGAAAATATGTGGTTAATATTGATTATTTGACTTTGATTTAGATTAAAATCAGATTTTAATTCGGCCCGAACATACCCTATATGAGATTGAGTGGCCACGATGAAATAAAATTAAATTGGGTGGACATATTGACACTAAATATAAAATTGAGTGGTCACGATGAAATAAAATTAAATTGAGTGGTTATGGTGACACTAGGTCTCTGTTTGGTAAAAAATAAATCTAAATTTTAATTTGAGTCAAAGTCAAATACTCACAAATTTTCAACTACACATTTCATTAATTTTTATCAAAATTTACTAAAATTCTTATTTTAATTCTCACAAATATGAACTAAAGATAAAGTTGGGTCATCATCGATAAATTTAACTCTAAAAATAAATGTGTAGAAAAAAAAAAGTTTAAAAAGTATGATTAAAAAAAGTCTGAAAAATGTGATGGTCAAATATGCTTGATGCCTATATGCCATCTCTCTTTCCTGAATGGCACTAAAAAGAAGGGTAGGGAAAGCATATGGCAAAGTCACCTGTGACCTGTTCCGTCGACTGCTACCGCCACTTGCTATAAAGATCGAGTTTTTAGTTTTTTTTCGGTGAGGAGGAAGTTTTAATACATTTGAGTCAGAATTCTTGAGTTTTCTTGATAAAAAGGCTCTTGTTTTCTTGTTTGGGATTTTTTAATTTCATGACTTCTGGTGCAGAAGTGTGCGTTGAAACCTCAGTGGTGGAGATGGAGTACTCTGCTGCTGTTGAGTTTTCATCCCCAGAAAAAACAAACACTGCCATTGAAAACAGCACTGACAAAAAGGTTAATTCCAATGCTAAGGAGTCTTGGGAAAGGGATGTAACTAGTGGTGGTAAGGACGATGATTCAGATTCAAAATCAGAACTGCAAATGAAGGATATTGTTGACATGCTGAAGAAACTCAAATTGAATCCCCTGGCTAAGGAATTCTTTCCTTCCTCTTATTATAACGGCCAGATGGGGGCCAAAAAAATTGTGCTAGCGGAAAAGAACTCCGGCATTGATGGTTCCCCAATAAACCGTAGGGTACAAACTCTGATTTTCATTGGATTGATATTTACCATGTCCATTAATGAATTGATTAATTATACTTCGTAATTCTTTTGATGCTCGACATTTCATCGAATATTATCTTCTGTTCGGGCTTGGGCGTGTGATATAGAAATGAATTATTAGTGTTCGTTTCACATTTCTCTGATTTTCTGATTTGACAGTTACCCAGAATAAAATTCCACGGCTTGAGAAATATTAGTTCATAGAATTTACAATGGATTCTATCTGTTATTTGAATTTGGTGGGTAAATTTTATGACATCTTTTTATTTTTGTCTGTCTGCTGTATTGGAATTCTGACGATCGTGTATAAATGTGTTGGTTGGCAGGTGGGAACTTATATGTTTAATATGCAGCTCTATTTAATCCAAGAACGAATCTTTGAAACTATAAGAAATGACTGTTGATAGTTCATGTATAGATATGGAGCTTTGATACATGAATTGCCATGAAGCAATCAATTTTTTAGCTCTAACATAGTAATGGATAAATGCTTTTAGGATTTATCAGTCTGAAAAGATGATTCCCAATTGTTTGCCTATTGTATTTGTCGAGATGAAATTAATACTATTGCATATAAGTTCTATCTTGTGTCAGTTGAGGCAAATTTGACCAAATCTAGGAAGTGGGACACACTTCTGTTGTTTGATGGATTTTCAATGAGTCGGTTTTTCGAAAAAAGGATTGGTCCACTTGGTTTAACAGACACTGATCATTTGGCATTTATTTCGTTCGACGTTGATAATTCAAGTCCAGATCACCAGCTTGGTCAGTGACAGTCTATTTCTAGGTTTAGTCACACGGACATTATTTGTGTATATATGCAGCACGTGTATACACATATCTGATTATTAATGGAACACTTGGTGCCAAACATCTTCTTATCAGACAATTTAATCTTGTAATGTAAAATAAAATCCATTACATTCTCAATATCCAGATGGTGGCACGCTTGATGTCATTACTGTTATATGACTTTAACTTTCTTGTTTTTGAGTATCGTAGTTGCCTTGGTCTGAATTGTTGTTCTTGAAATGTTTTAGATACTGAGATTTGAAAACCTTCTAATTCCATTCAATTCCATTTGATTGACGTTCATTACATGCTCTAAAATCTACATTTTTATGTGTTTCAGAGAAGAAATAACCACAACCAGGGCAGGAGGAGAGTGGGTGTTAGGACTTTCAGAGCTCAAAGAGAAGATAGTATCAGGCGAACAGTCTATGTATCTGACATTGATCATAATGTAAGTAAAAAGCAACAAACTTCACTCGACTTATTGTAGTCTTTCAGAAGATATATTGATATAGTTTTCACCTTGTCAAATAAGGTCACTGAAGAGCGGCTTGCTGCCCTATTCAGCGCCTATGGGCAAGTGAGTTTCTGTGCTCAGATATATTATATATGAATTGTTCTACCTGCACTCCTAGTACTTGATTTCCTTGTACCTCAGCTTTTTGGATTATTTTCTATGACCATAATTTACTGATTGTTTAAAGATGATAATTTTTTCAAAATTCTTGGCCATTGCCAGATCATACATAAAAAGTTCTGATCATATGTTGTAAAATATGGTCTCACATTATATTTTCAACACCAACTGGTTTCATTCTGAAATTGATCGAGTGTGAAATATGGAAAAAAGGTATGCAAAATGAAGATTAAGGTCTGAATAGTTTAGTGGTGCGGGACTGTGAACAGAAACAATTTAGTGGTGCAGTACTGTAACATGTGTTGTGTTATTGTAACCCAAAAAACGTGCTTCATTAATAAGATTTAACATGTTGTAGAACATTGTGCTCCTTGTTAGGTATAATGCCCTGATAGTTGATCCTGTCATATCCAAAGGAGTATTGCCGACAGGCATTTTGCTTGTATTTGAAAATTTCTTCATTCTAGTGAGTGTCCCTAGTCTTATTGGATAATACAATCCCCCTAATAGTTGTTGGAAGAATGAGATAGATATGCACGGTCATGCTTCTCATAAAGTGGTAATTACTAGTTACAAAAGGACTTGCACTCGCCAGTTCTATCCCTATGGTCTCGAGGTTGCTTCTGTGACCATATCCATGTGTACCACCTCTGGTTTGTGTTCTCTACCAATAGATATATACAGGAGTTACTATATCTCTCCCCCCCCCCCCCCCCCCCCCCNTGTTTAAAGACTGACCAAAAGATACCATTTTGGTATATAGTTGGTTGCTATTCCTGTAGGAATAGACAAGCAATAGTGCTGTATTGAGCAACTTTGATTTCCATTTGAAATCTTCTCTGCAAATTTAGTTTTGTCAGTTCCAAAATACATATTTGAAGCATTATTACCAATATCTTTGATTCCCTGCCAGATGACAGTTTTGATCTCCTACGATATGAGTTCGTCAATTTGTTTTAGAGAGAATCAGCTAAGCAAGTCGTAATGAAGAAGTAAGAATTGTTTAATAAATGATTTTGAAGGAAATACTGATTAGAGTACTTTGCCTTATCCAAGGCATTCAAATTGACATACATTGTGACTCACTAATGATACATGCTAGTGGTGCTACATTAAGAATCACTGTCACACCACAGAAGTCGAAGTGTCAGTGTCCAACACATAATGGGCACCAACATGTGCCATACATGTCAGGTGGAGTGTCCCCTTTTTCTTTAGGGGCACCTAGTTGGTAGACGACCAGAAGACACACGGTTGATAGAAGACCAGATGGTGCCTTGTGTCTCGTTTCATAGAAGTGGAAATTAGGGAAAACATCGAAGTGTGAAGAGTGAAGACCTGGAAATGAAACATGATTTTAAACGATAAACGGATTATAAAAACTTGGAAAATGAAAAACAGTTTGAAAAACTCGGAAATGAACTTAATATCAATTCTTTCTTTATATTTTCTGTATACGCCTTGATACAATAATTGTACGTGTTCTATTTGATCTCCACTTTAAAAAAAAGGTAAAAAGTGAAAAAAAATTATTTTATTGTTTTAGTCAACATTTCCGGCCATATTCATGTCATATCACACATTAGTGCCTTTGCTTCTTAGGTCCTATATAATGGCAGAAATTGCAGCTCGTGAGTTACACATATAGAGTATCTAGTAAGGATCTATTCATCCTGTTGTGACCTACCTTAAACACCCAATTAGGTTTTGTTAGAGGGGTATGACTACATTTCTCAATGACGAGTTTTGGTGGGTTTTGTTGATTGACTCAAGCACGATAACACTATGTTCAGTATCTTCATACATATTTTCTTTCTCTTTCCTTCAAAACTACATATAATCAATTAAGTCATGATAACACTATGTTCAGTATCTTCATACATATTTTCTTTCTCCTTCCTTCAAAACTACATATAATCAATTAAGTAGATTTCTGTATTTAAGAGTGTTGTTTTGGTCCAAAATACATGATAATAATTTTCCACGGATCATTATTTACTATTTGATGGTCAATCTTATTATTGAGAATATGTCCAAGCAATGTTTTCATTCATCGTTGTTTTGCCACGCTTTTCTTGATAATCAACATTGGCTTGTGGTCTAGGAAGCACGGATTCTTCTTGGCTTCAGAATCAGTGTTTTGGGTATGGTTCACCTTGACTCATTCTCTTGGACACGTTCAGAGTCTTTAGACATTTGTTGGACATACGGGGCTTGCTTTTAAGTATATGTTTGTTTTTTCTTTTTTAGACACTACAATCTGAGAAAATGCTTGCGGGCTCTTTTGGACCCAATGTGATTATGGGAAGGGGTTGGATAAAAGGAGGTAAAAGCAGGGTAGAAAAAAATAAAGTAAAAAGCGACCGATGATCACTGACTCATGCTACCTTCAATGACGTTTTATTGTTCAGAAACCTGTAATGTTCTCTGTGAAATCATATCGACCATTCTTTTTTTTTTTTATTTTTTTCCCCTCTTCCTCAAACCATTTTATTGACAAGAATTATACTTATTTAATTAACTCTAATATTCATTTTTTAATTTCTTTAGTTTCAAAGAGTTTTTGGTTGATTGAAAAAATTGACATTTTGGATATCATGTCCCCTTGTCTGTGCTCCTTAGTTTCTCCTTTTATGTTCATAAAGATTTGATGTTTATTCATCAATGTTCTATATGATATGGGTGTAATATGCTTTACGGTATTTTAAGGTGATGTAATAGAGCTGTATAATCACCCAGCTTAGTAGACACTGCAGAAATAGATATCCTGTCTTTGCCAAGAATAATATTATCATTCATGATTTTTGGTGAATAGAACTGAAATACTGGAGCTATCAAATTGATGTATTTTATATTGATATTATTGACATTTGCTTCTCCTTCTGTCTCCTCTTACTCGGTAGGTTGTTGATTGTCGTATTTGTGGCGATGCAAACTCCCGTCTTCGCTTTGCTTTTGTAGAATTCTCAGACGAGTGTAAGTTAGATTTCTTTTTCCATTTTTCTTTCTATCAATGCTTTGTGCTTACTGCTTGTTTGATGTCTGAAACCTGACTTTTCACTGGGGAACTAAAATCAACAGATTCTGCTCGAGCGTCTCTTAACCTTTGTGGGATACTGTTGGGTTTCTCTCCTGTTAAGGTTCTGCCTTCTAAAACTGCCATTCTTCCTGTGAATCCTACATTTCTTCCCAGGGTACGAACAAATCTCCAGCACTGCTAATATTCTTGAAATAATTGCTTAACATGCTTTTGTCTCCAGTTATTTCTTCCCATCTAATATCTCATTTCTCTATTATATCCATTTTGTTTCTTTATCTATGCCGAATTTTTACAAATAGTCAGAAAACGAACGGGAGATGTGTGCCAGGACAATCTACTGTACCAATATTGATAAGAGGGTATGCACACCTTATCTGTTTTTGGTTTAATGTGGTAAAGTTTTTGCTTATGCTTCTCTACTACTACTTGCTATTTAATCTGATGAATAATCCACTGGAAAATGCCTTCTTTTACTCGTGAATAAGTTAGAAAATAAATGACTAAATATGTTCCTGTGATGTACTTTGTCATGAGCAGGTTTCTCAGGCTGATGTTAAGAATTTCTTTGAAACAAGATGTGGTGAGGTGTGCCTAAAATTTCAAACATTGGGTTGGATTTGGTTATAGTTGGCTTGGAAGTGTTTAATGACCAAATAGATCTCTGAATTGTAGGTTTCCCGCCTGAGGCTCTTGGGGGATCACATGCATTCGACTCGGATTGCTTTTGTTGAATTTTCCATGGTATGCTATTTTTACTGAAATTGCTACTGCATAACTGCTTATGATTTTTTAGACACTTGTACGTATATACAGGTAGAAAAACTAACTGGATTTCCTATCAAAAAAGGAAAAACTAACTGGATGACAGTCAATAACACAAGTTAACACAAGTTTTCTCTAACAAGCATTCTTTAGATCAGGTGGGGGGTTGGTCATCCTGTGGCTGGAACATCTGGAACCACAAAATCCATGAACTTGAAGATTTTCTTTGGCATGGAAACAAAGATCTTCTAGAACAAACATTTAAACATGAAATAAAATGATTTGAAGTCTAAGCACATATGGAGTGAAAGGGGGCTTCTTAAAACTGCCCTGAATATCCCTGTTGCATGCCAATCAGCCTTATTGAAATGGGTGTATGGGTCTATATGAGCTGATAGAATTCTATTGGTTTTGTCGATCAAATGAAAAGACTCATCGAGGAGGACTAATAGTCATTTTTTACCTCATTCACAGATATTACAAGACTGTTATTACCTTTTCCAGACCTTCGATCAATGCATATGTGATTGTAGCCCAGGAATATGGCATGTACACGTGCACTGTAACCTCTTTTTTTTTAGGTTGCACTTCTGGAAAATTATTGGAAAAGGAGACCACATGACATGAGGAGAGGGATCATCTTTCTTATGAATTTAAGATAGACTGGAGAATAGGATAAAAAACACAGTTTCTCCTTTGTTAGCATTCATTATATCAAATAACTGACTTGATAATTTTTATATAATGTTGTGCTGTTAAGACTGCGGGATGTATTATTATAATACATGGTCAATTATACAAGTGCAGCTTACACAATCTCATACCAGAAGCTTTCTGTCAAATAAAAAAGTTATGCTGGAAATGCCCAATTAGTGAACTTTTCTGGAAAAAAATTAACTGGGAATTAATTTCATCTTATCACTTAAGTTGAACCAGAGAAGTTTTTAATTTGTCGGCAAGTGTATGTCGTGAAAATGAAGTCCATTCAAAGTGGATTTAGTTATTATACGTATTTTACATGCATTCTATTTGAAAAAAAATTAAGAAAGCTATTACTTTCACAGGCTGAGAGTGCAATACTTGCCCTTGATTGTTGTGGCGAAATTTTGGGATCCCGACGCATCAGGTACAGGTTATTGGTTGCTGCTAAATCTTTGTCAAGTCAATAGCTTTTCTTTTACTTTAATAGGTTTAATAATATTATAGGGTAAGCCCTTCAAAGACACCTGTGAGACCACAAGATCCATCCCCTGGAATGCAGTAAGCAGATCATTTGAGTCCAGAATCTTGAAGAACGTTGGTGTTAGTCCTCTTGGAAGAGACTTTCTTCTAGTTGAAGGGGTGGTGAAATTGCCCCCGTTCCACTTTTTTCCATTTCCTGGCAACACTTAAAAACTTTTCTACTGACTGATATAACTCTTGATCTTCAACTGATCAAGTTTACTGATATGGTTCCATTCTTCAGTACTTACTTTTACTATGATTAATTAATCATATAAAGCTAGCTCGGTGCTGTACTGGTGGCTGTGAGTGGAAAGTTTTCCGGGTACACCATTTGATATCTAATCAGTAGCATATTGTCGTCTTACTTTAGTCTTTGTACCGTATAGTAATTTATACGGTAAAACTATATGTTGGTTTAGGTTTATGGCCTTTAGTTTCAAGGATAGGTCGAACAATGAGCACGAGTAGGCAAGTGTGATGTTTGAAGTAGCATGGTAGTGAAAAATTAGAAACTGAGTCTGCCGAGGCAGGTCTGATGTTTGAAGGGATGAACATACATGTTTTGCATCGACCTAAAGAGGTGGTGGTTGCAATCTCCATAGCATGTTGAGAGGAATAGTAGGCTTAGTTTGTTGTTCAACATTTGAGGGATATTACGTTAACAGAGATTTCCATTTGAGTGACAAAAAAAAAACCAAAATTAGAAATTGAGTTTTAATATTAAGCAGAAATTTTCTTTGATTTTTTCTTGCTACAAATGGGACATTAGTCAGCTGCATGTTCCCAAGGAGCTTTTGCTTAACAGTTAACATCGTACAAAAAAGATTTTCTTGTTTTTCCCCTTTGGAAGTCCGTTAAGCCAACTCATTTTGTCATTTGTTCAACCATTCAATTTTGACTTTTCTCAATCTGAAAAGTAAAAAGTCAAAATTTTTACTCACGTGTTTACATTGTTTGTCTAAAACGTGTTTGGTTATATTTTGAATAAACTCTTTTCCCTTAATTAAGTGCAAGAAATTTAATTATTTTACTTGTATTACAATTTACTCCTTTTCTTTTGATAAGAAACTCCCACACCCATTATATAATATAAGGATCCGTTTGATAGGTAAAGATGGAAATGAATTCTAATTCCATGAAAAAAAAAATGTAGCTTAAAGTGATTCTTGAAATTCGATTTTCATTTTCACGTTGCAATGAAACGGTCAAAGTGGAAATTGTTTTTATCAGATGTGATATTTTTCATAGAATTCGTTGCAATCAAATAGGGTTTAAGAGTTATTCTCCTTTGCGAAGGACATGAGGGCTCTAGTAATGTAGCATCTCTCACAATATAATTCCTCTACGAACGTTAATAATTTCAAGAAAAAAAAAAGGTATAATAGAAATTAATAAAAAATATGTATTCGACTTTTTTAATACTTGTTGAATTTACTTAATATTTGGTCTAATTGAAATTCATAAACGAGTGGCTAAGTCGCAATTGTCTGTATAAAACATTGACATCTTTGCACTCCATACGCAGGAAGGAAATAGAAAAACAGTGCGTTTATATGGGACCCACTTGTAAATAATTTGATATTTGAATCAGGGTGGGCCCAGTTTGAATCACGTGGTTGAAATTCCGTACCAGTATGCATTTGCTAAGAAAGTTGGGGATGCTTCCATCGAAATATAAGCAAACTTTTTACTCTTCAGCAAACATGCTATGAGAAAATAGACAAAAATGTTATTACTTTCGGAGATTAGACATTCCTTAAGTAAATATTGTAAGAAACGACTACATAGATTCTTATGCATCCAATGTAAAAATTATCATTTATTTTGATAGTTCTAAAATTTTAATATTATATGATAATTTTGGATTTTTTTTCCTTGCGTTAAGGTGGTCATGGTAGTTTTTCAATTAATATCCTACCTTAGAATTTTGAACATGGTAAGATTTTATTACATTGTATAAATAAAATAACTCAAGTTTTTTGAAAAATGATATTTAATGCAGGAGTATGCTTGTAAGGAGTTTGCCTGATGGGCTGAGTTTGTAGTAGATTTTTGGATTTAATTATGAGTGATATAGTGAGGATTATATTTGTTCTATGAGCTTTTAGACAAAAATCGCGTCAATACCCTGCATCATGATTTATTAAAGAAATGTATAATTGAATAGTCATAGTTACGTTCCAAACTTTCGGTGTTCTTTATGAACCAACGAGTGTTTGATTTCATCTTCTAGCTTAAGAGTGATTCGACCGAAGCTAGAAAGCTAGTGAGAATTACATGTTTTCACACGTACAAGATACTGTACATTAAATTCACTTTTAAAAAAACCTTTATGTTTTTTCATAAATTCTTGTATGACCATGCGTCAAAAAATTAACGGTCAATTTTATGTCAAGAATTTTTTTTAAAAAAATTATAATAAACTGATTTACATACATATTCAACCTCTAGAAAGTCCTACCTTTTAGTACTAATAATAGTTGAATTTTGCTAGTGGTACATCTTTTGATGTACCTAAGGGGTTACACCCCCTCACACGGGGGTGAGACCCACTTGTATACAATATTTTTTTTAAAGTGGGTCCCACCTCCATGTGAGAGGGGTGTAATCTCCTAGGTACACCCTTAGGTGCCACTAGCAAAACCATAGTTTATGCATTGGATTGCATAACAGTGAAATGGAGAATCGACAGCTATTCTTCTATAAAGAAGTCCACAAATTAATCTAACGACATTTAGTTCATGACAAAGATAAAGATAATAATTTTATGTACTTTTATTTATTCTTGTCATGCTTCTAAAATATTTAATGCATTAGATTGTATGTAATTAAATAAAATAATAAATAATCCAAAATGATTTTTTATATCTTATTAGAGTACTAAACGTGTCATTTGTATATTGTAGTGTTTTAAAAATCAATCCGAACATTGCTCGAAAAAAAAAGTAAACAAGCGAATCGGTTTATTCTGAAGTATAGAATCTAACATTTAACTCTTACACATAATTGGACAAAAATTAAACCTATTTGTTATTTTGCTTATTTTATCAATTCAATATAATTCTTGTTAGGTAGACATATTGATCCCACAAAATTGGCACCAAACTTCAACTTGCTAAAATAAAAACTAATTAAAATGGAAAGTTCCTTTCAAGAAGAGTTCTACGACCAATGAATAAGTGGTACGTTATTAGAATTTCTAGTGATACGAGTGTAAGTATTTATCAATTATCATTATATAAAATACTGAAATTCAATTTTATTTCTAATTATGTCACAAGTTTTTACATTTTCCCCGAGCAAATTTCAAAATAATCATCAAATCAAGAAACTTCCTCCAAGGTTGAACCAGCAATATTTTTCCCAATTGTGTGCCTTGACTGGATCAACGGTCCTTCTAGACTGCCTATATCATAGTAGTCAACTTATTTCATTCAGTTCCTAACCCCGTACGAACCCAACCATCCTGACCATTATATATAGTCCATGTCCATCAGTTCAATTCAATAGTCAGTAAGCAACTTCCGCCGTGATCTGCCACCGTAATTAAGATACATCCGCCGGGGTCTTTTAAGCATCTTGGGAACTCGATGTCTGGATCCAATAGGGGCCCCGTGAAGGTGGTGCTAATCAACACCGAATACGTGGAAACTGATGCAATGAGCTTCAAATCTGTTGTTCAGAAACTCACCGGAAAAGATTCAGTGGTGGCGGCAAAGTCATCTTCCGCCGCCAAACAGCCGCCAAGGAGTGAAGTGTCAACCGCTGCTCCGCCAGTTTTGTCGCGTGGAATGTCGTTTAAGGATTTTGATAGGATGTTTAAGGAGCTGCCACCACTTGATGAACTTTACAGGCTTTGTTAGGAATAACAAAACCCTGTATAGATATATATATATATATATATTTATTTATTTACCTGTTTCTCTTCATATATATATATATATATTTTAATTCTTTCTCAATGCTCCATTACTATTGGGTTGGATGTGGTTAAACTAATTCGCTCCAACTTTTTATAAGTAGTTGCACATACTTTTGTCCATTCTTATGATCAACAATTGCTTATGTCTTCACCAACCGCTTCCGAGATCAAATTTCACTCACACAATCGTGTTCTAAGATTGATCATTCTCCGATGAAAATACAATTTTGCTTGATCGTGTTAATGAAAAGATTGTGGCTCAAATTGAGTAATTGATAACCATACACTTTTTTTGACAAAAGATGTCCAATTCAATATTAAAGTTTTTAGACTTAGTTATCTCAAATTGGAAAAGGACTATTTATTACAAAATTGAAACCAAATAAAATTGCACCATCTCTAACCACAGAAGTTTGTAAACGACGTGATTCAGCCCCTATTTGACACCCTTTTTTTTTTTTTTTTTATGGAAAAGGACTATTTATTACAAAATTGAAACCAAATAAAATTGCACCATCTCTAACCACAGAAGTTTGTAAACGACGTGATTCAGCCCCTATTTGACACCCTTTTTTTTTTCTGGCAAGAATGAGTTCTTGAATAATAAATTTTTGAAGAATGTGTGGTTAAAAGGTAGGAAATTTTTTTGGATTTACGTGAAAAATATTTTATTGTGAGAATGTGTGGTCAAAAATAAGAAAAAGAAAAAAAAAGAAAATTTTAAAGAATGATTATCAAACGAGGGATATCAAGGATGCCATCAAAGTGTTCATTTTTATAACTTAGTAGTAATATTAAATATAAGTGTTCAAAAGTACTAAAATGTACTTTTCAATTCAAAAATCGGCTAAGTCCTTGTTTAAGCTCCATTTTTTGGAAAAAAAAAAAAAATGCATTTTTGAATAGGGTTTTGACCCATTTCAACAACATATTTTTTAATATAATAATATTACATGTAAATTTAAAATTTTTCCTTATTTTTTAACTATATATTTCTCATCAATACACTATTCAAAAATACATTTTTTTGACAAGAATGGAGCTCAAACAAGCCTTGGTGTCCTCTTTACCTTTAAGTGAAACGGGCATCTATCAAAGAAGGAAGCACGAATGAAGTGGCTTGTGCTTGTCTCCTTTCATTCTCACTACCTAGTTTATAGTCAAAACTTGAGAATAAAAACTTATTGCATTCTTTTTCTGATGCTTGATCTTGAGTCTTGGGTATTGGTCAAACATGATAAAGAAAGTTTAATGGTTGGAATCGATAAATCCCAAGCGGAAAGCCTTCTATTTGCAAAGTTGTTGGAGTCGTATTGATTCATCAGGCACTCTTATATCTAATATCATATACTATTGAGTCACACAGCTAGTGACATTACACAAAAATCAGATGATAGCTAGCACCGGTGGGTGCCAGGGGTAGTACTCCATATATAAAGATTGACTTGAAATTACTTGGTTGTCTCGAGCTTAATACTAATAGTATTGGTCATTCTGACTATTATGATCTTGTACTTTTCGAAATTCTATTCAACCTCTTAAATTGTTTGACCACTAAAAAAGAGGCGAATATAGTGGATCCCATAATGAAGCCAAACATACTCAATAAAAAAAGATAGTTCGATAGAAGTATATATTAATTTTCACTTTAATTTTTATCTCCTCTTCACCTTATATTATAGAAAATAAAGGAGTGAGTTTTCCTGAGGCTAACCATGCCCAACAAAGGTAGTAAAAACCATGCCCGGGCAATAGTAGTGGAGACCATAATTTATCATTCTAACTTGTCACATTCCCGACTCTCGAGTATTCAGAACAACCATGTAGTACATGCTTTGAAGACATTCGAAAGTATGCATGTTGGATGAATAGTTCAGCTCGCAAATTCCTTCGCTTTTGAAATTTGTGTATGACCTTAGTTGTCTACGTAAGTCATGGTTAAAGTTAACTAATCTCTACGAAAGTCCGTCACCATCGACACGTGTCTTATTCAAGTAAGGAATTGGTATAGCAGGTGCGGAATTTACAGCCATAATAAATTTCTATAAAATTAAATTTAATACTAAATGAAGTTTTGAACAAGGAAAACGATCCCAACAACTCCCTATTACGTAAATAATAGCACATATTTCAAAATTATCACTTGTTTAGGAGGATTTTATCCCGATGAGGATCTTGAGCCTAATTAGCCAGTTGATGAGACAATAACTTACCTGCACAACTCCCTAATTATGTAAGAACTATAAATATTTTAATCATTTTTGCTATGAACGTTCATGAATGGTTCAGAATATTACGAAAATTTCCATTTTTGAATTGTTCAAAATATGAAGATCATGTTAGTACGCCCCTCGTATATATTTAAATTATTCCGAAACCTCTCTTCGACTACTCTACACACATGAGATTAATAATTCATATCTATGATATTTAAATAAAAAGTTATCAATATTTCAAAGCAACAAATATGATATTTTTTACTCTTTTGAAAACTGAAGAAGACAAATAGTACTTAAATAATAATATTATAAGATTGGTGCGTATACTTTTCCTCTTGAAAGGGCATTCCTTCCGGCTTCAGCACTCTACCGTCCTTGCTTCTTTCCATAGTTTTCTTAATCTTATCCTAATTATAATTAAATATCATTCTCTCTGTCATTGCTTCTAAATTGTTTTCGTGTTACTCTTTTTTTATTTTCATGTCAGTCGGATTCCACGGATCAGTTTGACCAAAAGAACAAGACATTAGTTCGAAAATATTTGTTTGTTAGTTTGTTGAACATATACTGGTCTCCATTATTAATTTTTTTTAATTAATTTATGATAAGAAAAGAATAGGAAATCTTTTTACACGGCCTCCGGTGAACAAAAATTGTTGTAAAATGAATTGTACTTCTTGAAGAACACCATTATGAGTAGATAAATACATGTACAAACAGTCCGCTATGTGTATGTATATCCAAAAATAGACAGGTATCAACAGGGAGAGAGTTCCGATCTTGTTTCCTCTTCCCGGCCGTGGGTCTCTCCTTCTTCTCTATCTGTAACGTGCATACACATATCCATGGATAAAAAGGAAATCGATTTCTTTGCCCTTTTCATCTGAAAACTGCTCTGAGTTTCTTTTTTTTCCCCAAGATTTCATTTCAAGGTGCAGCTTCCTCGAGTATTAATTCAATTTCTTTTGATAGTTTATACTTTTTCTTGAGGAAATTTAGTGGGCCTCTGATATTTTTACCGAAATTAATGGTTTTTGTCTGAACTTCTTTGTTTTGCAGGACATTTCTATGTGTGTTTATTGCAAATTCCTGACTTTCTTGTTCTGGGATAGTGACATGCGTGTTTCTATTCAGTGAGATCTTGTACATAGTGTAAAAATTGAATTTTCCCTTGAGAAAGAAAAGAAACTGAAAATTGGAGTTTTTTTTTCCCTAATATGGGGAATAAATTGGGGAGGAAGCAAGTGGTGGACGAGAAGTACACTAAGCCTCAGGGATTGTATCAACACAAAGATGTGGACCACAAGAAGCTTAGAAAACTCATTCTTGACTCAAAGCTGGCACCTTGTTACCCTGGTGATGATGAATGTGGGTGTGATCTTGAGGAATGTCCCATTTGCTTCTTGGTCTGTTTCTCAATTTTGTTCTTCATTTCTTGTTTTTTGATTGTTTTATGCTATCATTGGATTTTCTTGATTTTTAACAGTAAATTTGGTTCAAAAGTATTTTTTATGTGATCTTGAGGAATGACCCATTTGCTTCTTGCTATATTTCTTTCTTCATGTCTTGTTTTTGGTTGTTTATAATATCATGACATTCTTGGTTGTTTAAAAGTAAACTTGGTTCAAGAGTATTTTGCTGCGATCTTTGAGGATGTCCTGATTGCCTCTTGGTGTGTTTCTCAATATATATATATATGTATATATATATATCATTTCTTGTTCTTTAATTGTTTATGCTATTACTGGAGTTTCTGGGTTATTTTAATTTAATTTGGTTCATGAGTATTTTTCTAATTTACTTGTTTATGGATTCACCTTGTTCTACTTATCCTAATGGGGATTTGAAATGTTGTCTGAGTAATTGAGAAATGAAAAAGGAAGTTACCCTGGCAAAAGAGTTGGATGTAGGAAATAATTGAACTGTTATTTAGAATTTAGTTTAGCCTACTAATTATGTTAAATGACAATCTGGAATGGAAATGTGTTCGTTATAATTTGTTAGCAATTGGGAATGGAACATTGAGTGAATTATATTTGTTTGAATTTTGGTTATGCCACAATTGAGGCTTAGCTCTTATTCTTTTTTGATAGGAGGCTTATCTCTTATTCTACTTTCTGGGACTAGAATAAAGCACAATTGTCATAGTGTTAGAATCAATAATGATTGTTTGTATTCTTAATGCATTAAAGCACATCATATGAGTCGGATGACATTTTTCCCATCAATATTTTCTTTTTATGTTGTGCATGTTTTCAGTACTATCCAAGTCTTAATAGGTCAAGATGTTGCACGAAAGGCATTTGTACAGGTATGATTTGCACTATGTAGTTCCTAATGACATTGTTCTAAATTGATAAAATACTTGAATTCGTTGATTCTCAGTCTAATGATTCTTTTTGACTTGTTTCTATGTTCCTAGAGTGTTTTTTGCAGATGAAAACTCCGAATTCTACTCGGCCTACGCAGTATCCTTCATTTCATTCAGTTTGATTCATCTACATATTTAAGTTTCTGTTGGATCAAAATGATTATGTATGTGTATATGTGGGGGTATGCACTTGCTCATCATCACATGCTCCCATCTATTTTGTGTTGTCGTAGCTGTTTTAAGGTTTTCAAATTTCTTTATGCTTACCTTAACCTTAGTAGATGTCCTTTCTGTAAATCCCCAAATTACGCTGTGGAGTATCGAGGTGTCAAGACAAAGGAGGAGAAAGGCTTGGAACAAATTGTATGATCGATTTATCCTAATTATTGCTTTTATCTTTTTCTTCTTTAAGATATCTCAGAGAGCATTGTGACAACCAAATTGAACTTTGTTCTCATAATTTATATGTGCAGGAAGAACAACGAGTTATAGAAGCCAAAATAAGGATGAGGCAGAAAGAACTTCAGGATGAAGAGGAGAGAGTACTGAATCGAAGAGAAATTAGTTCTTCAAGCAGTATTACAGTATCAAGTGAGGTTGATTATTGCTCAACAGCAGGTATATGACATGAGACTGAGTTAACACCTTTAGGTTTTCTTGCTGCGTTTTTGACCACTCACATATTTTCCTTTCCATTGCAGCTCTGTCTTTTGCCTCTGCTGTAGAAGGTGAGGAAATTGTTACCTCTCAGGCATCAGGTGCTGCTTCAGCAGTAGGACCACTTTCTCGTCCAAGGCAAAATAGGTATTTAACTTCTTTGGTTGTGAACTTACTGTTTAATATCATTTACTGTTCTGATTCTATGCAATTCTATGTTGTTTGGACCACACAGTCTAGAAAGATGTGGCTGTCGACAAGTGGCTATCATTTTTACATGATAATTATCTCAAGAAAAAGCTGATTGAAGAAAAAGTATCTTCCTATATTATTAGTTATCAATAATATTATGATAGAAAACTATATTTATAGGAGCTTGCCTAGACATTTAGTTGCAGCAGGTTCCTGTAATATGTGACTGGGTTATAATCCCCCTTTCCTGTGAGTTACCTGATTTGTTCAGTCCATTATATTTCTCTTTTTCTCTGAAAATAGTAGCTAAACTGTCATAAATTCTTATATGCTGAATTTAACTTTCTAAAGTGGATATCATCTTTCCTATTCTGTAGCTGCTAACTTTCTTATTATTGAAGTTGACTCAGGGGAATGTTGAGGAGCTTTTGATGCTCCTTTAGGATGTTGTGGTGCAATTCTATCTAGAGGTTCCAAACAGTGCTGGTTAATCATAACATCTAGATGTTTGCAATTTAATTTCAGCAACCACATGGAGATGCTTCATATGACAGAGCAACAAATATTTTGGCAGTTTGAAAATAGCCTAATGCCAGCACCATTTTGTTTCCTTCTTGGGGAATGTGGGGAACTCGTTCTTATACTCCATTAACCTGAAAGCAACATCAATTTTGGTGTGCAATTAAGCATAAGCTTGCTTAAATCAATTCCTAGCTGAAAACAAGATACAGACAAGAGCATCATTAAGTCCCTGGCTCCCTGCAGTGGTCAGATCCTGCCATGGAATGGCTGTAACTGTGAGGAAGTTTGCTATCTGTCTATAGGTCCTTGTCCAACACCATCTCTTGTCCTTTTACTTGATTAGGTAGACCTAAACCTTCCATTCAAATCCAACTTTTCCTCTTCATCGTTGGGTTTAGAGATTGCTCGTTTAAAAAACAATGAAAGAATGCGGATTTTGGTTTGGTGCATGATACGGATCTTTTCTGGACATGTCTCTCCACAGTGGGAGTGGCAAGTCTTCTTAGGTCTTTTAAGAGATTTTTCAAAGGACTACAAATATCAATTAAAGGTGTGTTTGAGCCACATTATTTTGGAAGAATGTATTTTGGAATAGTAGATTATGGAGAATGTGTGGTTGAAAAAGAAGGAAAAGTTATTGATGTGATGAAAATTATTATTTTATTGAAGAATGTGTGGTTGAAAATGAGTAGAAGAATGAGAATTGAAATTTTAATGTGGCTCAAATAGGGACTAAGAATCATCTTTTGAGTTCTTCATTTCACTGGAAGGAATGTACTGGTGACTGTACTTCTGTAAAATTGCCATTACATGGTGGCCCTCCTTCCACTTGAACCTTGAACAAAATGACCAAATTATTGGTGTGTTGAGTTTGGCGTGATGGTTTTGAGTTGGTTTATGAGTTTATGAATTATGATGACAATTAAAGTCAGTTTATATCTAGACACTAATGAATGGAATTATGATGGATTAAATTAGTAGTAATTCCTTGGTATACATGGATATCCAGAGCCCAAAAAATATAGTCAAAAACATAGTCTAGAAACCAATCTGATGAAATTTAAACTAGAGAAAGTAATTTGATAAAACAACTGACTTGGAGGAGAAAAGGATAGTAATTGACAGCTGATTTGGAGAATGGTATGACTATAATTTCATCCTGTAAAAATAGCAAAAAAATTGACATCCTTTTAAAGAGACACCGCTCCGTAATTTATTCAACTACATTTCTTTATTCAAAATTTTGTACAAAAACTTATTGCTATATTTCTGTTGCTTTTTCTTCATATAGTGCCAATTTCGTTCAAACTTGTTCTCCAGCGCTTGTCAATTGTCTACGAAAAAAGATACTTTTAACAATAATGCTAAATGTACATTATTTTCCTCACTTCAAATTTGACATCCCCTTTGTTTTCAAAAAATTGTGGGCGGGGATTTTTTTTAATAAAAAAACAGTCCAATGTTGTGTTGCCACGTGGCATAATATAAAAAATGATGTAAAAGATAATGTACACGTAGCACGATTGTACTTTTAATCCATTTTGTTTTACGTTTCAGTAGTTACAATATAATTCCCATGCATTTGATGTCCCTCAATATCTTTGAAGTTTATTTTTATCCTCCAAGCGAGAATTTTCATAATGCTAATATCTTCTTCCATTTCCTTTAACTGATGTTTATAATTGAACTTTCATAGGATCATTAGGTTTCTTCATAATTCAGAACTTTTTAAAAATATAACAATTGTTTGAAGAATGTTATGGACTATACAGGAGTTGAGGTAGAGAACATTAATGCTTATTGGTTTTTATTTTTGGGAAACATGTCATTATAATTTAATTGTCCATTTTTCGTCAGCTACGGACTTCTTGTGGAACATAACAATCCTCTCCCTATTTATCTCCAATACACTGGACATGGTTATGGCATGAATTGTTGGTAATCCTAGGTGCTAACTTCAAGTAAGAATTATTGGTTTTAAGTTATTAACTTGGTTTGTCCAGCTTAGGCCTGGTCAAAAGTTTGTCCCAAGTTCCTACCTCATCACACTACAGTATCGGTATATTCAGGGGTCTAGTGGTTGGCCTTAAGTTTTCTAAAATGGTACTTGGTCAATCTTAGGGTTGATGGTAACAAGAGTATCATGGGGCTGTGTCGACCCTGTATGTGATTGTCCAATGCCCCATGTCAAATATGGGGAGTTGGAGGTGCTAACTTATAAATTGAAGTTGAGAGTTCAAGTTGTAACTTAGACTAATCATTTTTGGGCCACGTGGGAAAATATGCCCCAGGTCAGTGGTAGACTGGTAGTTGTCTTAAGCCTACAACTAATTTATGGATGCGCCAATAAAAATTCAAGCCTGATTTATCTCTGATTTTTTCTAATATGTTCTAGGAATTAACTACTGATCGATAGAATTGCAATATATCTTAGCTCATTGTTGAAAAATTGTAAACAACCTTACAGTATTTAGTCGATAAATACAATGATAATGGCAAACTCAATCTGCATTGCAAAAACTCAGTATCTTTTACTTGATCAGATTGATCTATTGAGCTTCTGGTGCTTGCTTGAATTTTAAATGTCTTCCAAATTTTCTCATATAGAAACATCATTCAGTAGAGTAGAAAAGGAATGTGTTTTAGGAAGTTATAGATGAAAGATGAGAAAGTTATGCTGATAAATGGATCAGCAGTTGCTACTCCTGTGGTTTTTATAATAAACTTGGGTGTCAAATCCTTCCTCTAATACCCTCATTCTATCTTCTATGCAGGGAAGACGAGTTCGACCTGGATCTTGAGGATATAATGGTTATGGAATCCATTTGGCTGTCTATTCAGGTACTTATTTGCAAAATCAATCATTCATGGTTGGACTCGGAAAGTTCACAGCCTTCTGTAAGCTTCACTTGAAAGACTATATTTGGTTTTGGCAATCTTGATGTTGCTAAACACCTACTAAAATGTTCTTATTAGCATTAAAACCGGAACACGTCTGTGTTTGTTCTAAAATTGGACTCTATGAGGTACTTATGTCTTGAATACAGTCTCAGACAATGCTAGAGCATTAGTGCATATATCTTAATGTATAACCCTATATTCAGTTTCTTTCATAATGTTAGCAAGTTCGACCTTCAATCTTCTACTCTGACCTCTTGTTGACTTAAAGATGACGTGTACTTTTTTATTGTGCACATGTAATTATGATAGGAGAGTGGCAGGCATCAAAATCCACCGTATAGTGAAGCAGCTGCATCAGAAGAATACACAGGAGAAGATCAAAGTGTCTCAACATTGATGGCCCCAGTGGCTGTGTCCTCGTCAACTCCTTCTGGCGGTCTTGCTTGTGCAATAGCAGCCCTAGCCGAGCATCAACATGCGGGTGGAGAGTCGAGTAATTATGGCAACCACATGTCTACATATAACATGCCTGCCTGTAGCAGTTTTCCCAACCAGGAACAAGAATCTGAAAATTACTTTCCTGCAGAAAGTGCCATTGTTGCATCACCTGATAGTCAGTTGGTAATGCCCAGGGATTCTGGAGAATGGGTCGATCATAGATCGGAATTGACTGAAGTTGGAACCAGCTATTCAGGTTCTGCTGCAGTCCCCCAACAATATGAAGGTGAGTGTAGCTTCCAACCTGTTGCTGGATCCATTGTTCCAGAGAGTTTTGAGGAGCAGATGATGCTAGCCATGGCTGTTTCATTGGCCGAGGCTCGAGCCAGGACAAGTGCACCAGGTGTTGCATGGAACTAGCTAAGGTATAGAGGAGTCGCTTACCAATTTACACTCCACAGCGCATTGATTTCTGCGCCATAAATTCAAAAACAACATGAAAATTTGTTCATTCCTTGAATTTATGTACACTTGGAAAAACAGTGAAAACGATTATAGGAATGAAGGTTGTACGGCAACTCAATTTCCAACAGTTCAGGTACCCCCCTTATTCATCAGTGGTGGTGCATAGTGTTTCTAACTTTATACCAAGTGCTTTCAGTCTGGATTTAATTGATTGCACGTCTTGTAATTACTTAAACTGACATTAGCGACGAGATTCCTCAGTGAGAATTATTTGTTTAATATCAAGGATTTGGAGTTTTATTTGATGTGAGAATATATACGTTTGAAATTGTATTCGGGTTCTGGATTCCATTTCAGGCAAAGGTTGGCCACCAAAAGTTGTATTGTTACAGCTAAAGGACAGGGATACAGATTACAGGGTACTGGCAGTCTCAGGTAAGTGCAAGAGTAATGTACATATTCTCGACTTGATAGTTGGATTCTCTGTCAATTGTCGACTGTGGTTCGTCTCAAATCTATTTTTCATCCAGTTCAAATTTATGCTTTTGAGCATATTTGATGGAAGTGCAAATGCACTTTTGCATGAGCATTTCTGTAAAGTGTAACAGGATAAAGAATGTTATTAATGAACCTGTTACGCTGCTGCTTGTTCCGAAGCTACTGGACTAGTCAAGGCAAGGACATGGGCATGTTAAGTACGTCGCATTGAGCATGACTGGTCGTTATTAAATAAAGGGATACGATATAAAATTTGTCAATTGTTCGTTCAATTCTGAATTCTGATCCAGCACAAGTTTGGCAACTGTTTATTAACCGTTTATAATTGGTCAAAATCAAAAAAATTTCCAGATTTTGTGGAAATCATAAAAAACTACTCACTTATATATACCACTTATTTTTAATATTATAAATAAAAAAATTATATATTTACTTGGTAAAAAAAATTAAAATAAAAATTATAAAATTTAAGAGTGGTTATATCCGCGCAATATATATATATATACAGAAATGATCTAATGAGCACCGGTGCTCATCTTATCCTAAGCACCAATGAGTTGACACATTAATTCATTGGTGGATAAAGATTTTGTGAGTTCCAATCCATCAATGAATTAATGTGCCAACTCAT